CTGTTGCATGCACGTATTGTACGTTCTGTACTGTTGAAATTATTGTTTAACATGACACCAACATGCGTTATATTTTCTACTACTGGAAGAGGATGCTCATACAGATACAGTTGTATACTTGACCCTTTCTGCTTTCTTCTAGAAAAACACATAATATTACTTTTCACTGCAGAAAACACAAAGCGCCACTTTTTACTATAATCTTCACACACGCTTAACATGTGTTGTATACTTTTATGTTGTGTACTGACTAGACAAATATCATCTGCCTGTGTTGGTATATTAATTCTTAAATCGGCAATAATAGCACCCATTCCACATTTTTCAACACAATCTAGTAAATCATTAATGAAGACGAGATACATTTTTGCAGATAATGCGCTCCCCTGTAAGATTCCCCTTTCCATCTTTATCCATCTTGATCTTAAACCATTAAATAAGACACTACTTCTTATGTCTGTATATATTGCTTTCAAAATGTGCCATGACTTAGCAGTTATTCCCAATTGATGTAACTTATAAAGTAAACCGTCATGCCAGACAGTGTCAAAAGCTTTGTTACTGTCTAAAAAGGCTACAAAAACGTTTTCACCCCTTTCTACATTATAATGTATACATTCCTGCAGGTTAAATGAGGTTAACAAACTACAGAGCCCTTTTTGGTAAGCTGATTGTTGCTTATTTGGAAAAGAAACAGAAGAAAGAACTGGTTCCAATCTATTCGCTAAAATCATTTCGAACACTTTAAAGATGACTGGTAGAAGAGTTAACCCCCTATAACTATTAGGATCATCCTTAGGTTTAGGATGACCTTTGTACAATGTGATAATAGTCCCCTTCTTCCATCCATATGGTATATATTGACTCTCAACTACTGCATTGAATAACTTTGATAAATGAGCAAAAAGGTCTGAGTTTCCCAATTTCAAGTGCTCATATACTAGACCGTCCATACCTCCTACCTTATTTGATTTTAGATTCCTGCAGATTATTTCGATTTCAGCTTGCGTGATTGGATCTTTTAAGAATCTCTCATCTTTCAAATCTTTTCTTTCTATTTCTTTCACTTTACTTGATATATGGATCCTAAAGTTTTCATCAAATATACTATTAGAATCATCTTTAAAAATTCTCTCAAAATGAGAAGCCCATTTATCTACAATAATTTCCGGGTCTCTGAAAGTTTTTCTGTCACATCTAAATTCAGTTTGGCAACGTCTTTGTTTTGTCGTTTTATTTCTGATTAAATGCCAAAAAAGTTTCTGATCTATGTCATTTGCTCGCTCAATTTCTTTTAATTGATCAGACATGTATTTATCGAAAGCTTGTCTAAGGTTTCTCCTGAATTCTTTCTTCATCCATTTATATTCTTTATAACTGTTCGAACAATCTCTAGGTCTACCTTCAACAATCCATTTTTGTCTGCTACTTTTCATATTACTATGAAACTGTGATAACTGATCATTCCAGTATGGTTTTAAGTAGGGTTTGTATTTCGACACAGGTACAGATTCTATGGACGAATTATATATAGCACTCACAATATCACAATAATATTTCTCAATCACATTCTCACTTAGACTCACATTCTTATACTCAATATTCTCAGCTCCTACAATCTTAATACGAGCTAAATTCCGACTTAAAGCTACTTTATAGTTCTCAGCTACAGCTCTTTTCCAACTAAACCGTGTTTGTTTTACATGATTATTTAAGGAAGCATCTACTGGTATTCGAATTGAACTGATTACAGGAACATGTTCCGACAAATTAAGTTCACTTTCATCTAAAATTGACGCACTCTGTACTAAATCAAGGGAGCTTGCTTCAATGATAATATGGTCAATAAGTGTTGATTTACCCGTTTGGGGAAAAAACGAACTAAATGGACCTCTACACGTATTTTGTACATTGATGGATATCAAATTACACCGGCTTAAAAACTCCTGAAAAATCTTAGACCTATCATTTTCAACAAAGCTACACCGAGGACCTTTAATCTTGACATTCATATCGCCCATAAACATAACCTGCCCCTTCTCAGAATAAACTGAGTATAGGCATTCCAGAAGTTCAACATGTTCTGTAAACATTTCTATTGTTCTAGACGCGGCAGGCATATATACAACAAAACAATACAAAATCAAATCGTCGGAAAGAGTAATCTCTGCTCCAACTATTCTTGGACTATCTACCTCTATTTCTTGTACTCTGAAAAATGGTTCTTTGTACAACAGAGCTACACCTCCTCTAATGTTACATTTGTATTTGAACGGATCTCTTTCAAAAACGGGTTTAGCTATAACACTATACCCTATGGATTTAAATGTGTTGAAAAAAGACATATTAAATTCACGTAACCAGTGTTCAGATATACCACAAATATTAATGTTGAATTTCTTGAGACAGTTCACTAGGTAAGGTGTTCCTGCCATGATACCCTCAATGTTCCAACACAGTGCGTTCACAAAGTCAGCCATGCCTGTGTTCACTCAAAAAAAAAAAAAAAAAAAAATTCACGCGGCTGCCACTCCCTCATGTAAATTCCTTCAGGCCAGAAGGACTTGTTACTGATAATCTCCTCATCTTCCGCCACGATATTGAGTTGTGCCGAAGCGGTATTTTTCCAACGTTTCTCAAAGTATCTAATCCATGTTACACGTACGTTTGCCTCTTCGAGATAACTTCGCATAGCGTTTTCAGAAGATATGTGGCGGTTAATACCATGTACATAGAAACGTTTGATTCTCCTTCTTGGCTTTTGACTGAATCCTACAAATCGATTTGCCACCGGATTGCAAACTGAAGAAGGAAAGTGGACCCTGATAGACTGTTGCGACTCTGCATCAAGCTCGTGACGCCTTAATACATTGTTGTTTCGCCTATTGTGAAGAGATTGCGTAGAACCGTTGACAGACGTGCCTTGCCTACCAGCCACCTCAATGGACTGATTGGAATCCTGAGAAGTGCCCGGGCCTGATGCAGTCTTGGCTGCTACACCTTTTGTGATATCTTCCTGGTTTTCTGAACACAGGACCTCAAATCGGTTGGATGTCACGATAGCCGGTATCGCTTCTATTGTACTCGAGTTGATGTTGGCTCTGACAGGATTGATATCTCTCTGTACTTCTTTACGTACTTTGTCGATTTGTTTCTTGAGACTAACAACTGACGTTGCACATGACTTGATTGAGTCTTTTGTCTCATCTAGGTCGGATTCATGACACTTCATGTAATTTGTCACACGCTCTGACACCAATTTCAACGCACTTTTGACACTAGCGACACCGTTAAGTTGTTCATCATCATATCTTTTTACTATGTTTTTCATGTCTGCTGTAGATTCCTGTGCGTCTTTGAAATCCGTCTTCACTTTCATTAGCTGTTTTTCTATTTTGTCTCGATGTGTTTTGCTTTTACGTATATTTTCTTCAAGAGTTTTAATTGAAGACGACACTTCCTTTTGAGTCTTGCTGTTCTCAGCTCTAAACGAATTTATTCCAGCAAGATTATCGGTGCAGTTTGCATTCGCTTTCTCTACATCTTCTTGCAGCTTTGCTATGGATTGCTGGTAAGTAGTACAGGCCGTTTTACATTCTTCTAATTCTGTTTGAATTCTCTTTACATCTTCTCTGTACTTTGTCGCCCTGTTTTTTGCACTTTCCTTTTCCTTTAGTAAATCGTCAATTCTCGAGTTCAGATGTTTAATTTCCTTATTGTGATCACTTTTAAGAAAGTACAAATCGCGTTTCAGGATTGCGACAGATTCCTGAAGAACACTGAAACCTGCTATTTCACGAGCGCCAATGTTTTTAGAGTTATTAGAAGGTAACTGGGTCCTCCTAACCCTCGTTGGGACAACTTCTGATAGCTCATCCACAAATTCGCCTTCGCAAGCGCGTACGAGTATAAAACAATCACGTGCTAATTTGGCTTGCATTGTCGGAGCGTTTGGTGTCCTAGTTTCTTTTCTTTTTCTCAAATAACCTTCTTTGTAAGGGAAATCGTCGCGAGAACAAGCTTTTTCAAACAATGAGTCACGCAGCAATTCAATATCCGCAACGTTATCACTTGTCAACCGTCGTATCTCGTCGACTAACAGCGTTTTCGGGCAATCTTTTGCCTTTTTCAATCTGCTCCATATATATGTCTATAGTACGTTTGTTTTTGTCCGTTGTAGTCGACTCCCCACTATAGCATACGTTGTCATCATGCACCTGATTACAAATCACTAAAGAGTCACCATCTACATAACTTTCCTCAAATTCAGCATGGTCATCGTAGATTTGACCATTTTGCCAAGATGACGGCTGCATGTACACTTGGCTGACCGGTAATAGTTCTGTGAGTGTATTTGTATCTGAGCGTTCGATATCACCCACTTCCCCGTCATACTCCATCCTTATTGGAATTGCATTATCAAAATATTCACAAAAAGGTAAACAATTCAAAACTATAGGCCGCGTACTTGCCCTGGGCACGTCTGTAGTGAGTGCGCATTCACAGGTATGGCCAATGCCACACAGGTGAACACAGAGTCTATTTATAGATCAATGTGAATACAATTGAGTGTAGCCCATTGTATTAACTAAATCTTTGAAAAACGCATAGAATTGCACATTTATCGACGATATGAGTAAATCACTTGATACCACTAACCATTACTAACCTCTGAACCATTTTGCTGTGAAAACGTCGCTGTGTTTCAGTCGATAAGAGACAAATTATTTGGAGCTTGCACATACGGTGTGATTCCCGTGACTCCGCGCCACGTAAAATATATTAAAATATTTTAACAGTCATTATCCAAGACGTCTGTCAGCTGTTTTTTCCTAACATCGAACAGACACATCATTTTAAAGTAAATACATATGAAGTATACGTAAAGATTAAACTGAACCATCTAAAAAGTAAAGTAAAAAAGTGGGAACAATTTTCAATAATTAAACATTTATCCGGTTCCTTTTTCTTTATTTCAAAAGGAACAAAATTGTACTTACAATGTACGGAAACACTGACTGTTGAAGTTGATTCCCCAGCAATATTTCTAGCTGTACACTTGTACGTCCCGTGTTCCGACGTCTCCAGTTGTTTCAGTGACAATACAGGTGAAACAGTAAAGTTGGTATTGTCCGGTCGTGTCCAGACGAAGGTACAGCCAGGTCTACAATCCGATGAACATGTGATATCTGGTAATGTATCGCCCTCTGTCCTGGTGTATGTAGTGTCCGGCGGTGACAGAGCTATGGACGTACCGGGACCGCCTATAATGATATTGTTTTGTTACTCATTTTTATGTACAATCTCAATTAGCAATATCATTTACACAGTCCTGACCACGCTATAATAGTATCTGTATATAGTGTGGTGGTGGGGGTTGAGGCAGAATAGAATCCGTCTTCAGTCGATGATGCTTCAGACCAAATTTGCATAACATCAACTTCTTCCTTTTAAAGAGGAAGGATCTTAAAAAAATACTCTATCCAACATATCGCGATATATGGGACTCATATCTACCGTTTATACAAAAGTTAATCAGTTTTACTTCTACCCAAATTTTAACAATTCCCTGTCATTTCTTGATGGGCACATTGCTTCATTTCCAGCCTATGGTATTTAAATGCCGTAGTTGATCACATATTCAAGGGTCTGTTCCCGTCATCAAGATTTTTATGTGAGACGTCGTCAAGAGACAGACACGTGGTTTCTGAAGACTCAGGTTGATGTAAACTACGGGTTTTACGATCGTCGTACTGATCTCGTTGAGAAATATTTTATTTCTTTGTATGATATGAAGCTAAACATGGTTGATGTTCGTTTGGTTGCATTTTGGAACTTTATAATATTATTAATAGTAATATTACTTACTTTGATTGATCAATATCTACATGGCGCGTTTTGGCGATAAGGCAGACGAAACTTACTCTTGGGGAACTACAGATGTTATTTTCACTCTATTTTTTGCAGGAGTCTCTGTGTCAAAATCTAATCTGCCCAAGGTTTATTGAAATTTAGTTATGATGATTATATAAACACGTTGGTATGGTCCTATAGCAATGTTACGAAATTTCCCTTTTTTGTTTATAGGCTGCAGGCACGAAGGAGAAGTACGATTAAAAAGTTACACCCATTTTATTTCTCTATTTGGGAACGCATTTAAAGAGTAATGAAAACTAAAATCCAATATCATCAATATTCCTACCCCCGTTGAAGTTTCCGACCAAATTTGATTGAAACCCACTCATACATTATGGCAGTGAAATCCCTTTATGGTTGTATGCACAATATTTTACATCAACGAAATGTTTAATCGGACCTACAGACAAATATTTTCAACTTTTCGGAGCTACATCTAAGCGTATCCATGTTTTGACACGGCAAGGACAGTGACGGAGTTAACAACTGCTGAACTTGCAAAGGAACCGGCGATTATTCCACCTAAACGCCACGCATTAAAACACTAGATTTAAAATACAGTTTAGATGACTTTCAATCGTAAAGAAAGGTATTAGAAAACCCCATTATTAAAATTAAAAAAAAAAAAAAAAAAAAAAAACTGATATACGTCATACTGAATAGGAAAATATTGGGCTTCAAACTTTTCAGAGTCGTATTTTCACTTTTTGGTTGATCTCGAATCTTTGTATAGGCACCAAATGCTAGCTTTACAGGAAGTGAAATATCCTTAATGTCAACATGTGATCATTATGTAAAGTCATTCCTAATTTGATTTTGCTGAAGCATAGTAACTTGTTACTTTGGCATCACCTATGATTTTAGACACTGAATGTTGAGAGTGTTGTGAAGATGTAGTTTTGGGTTGAGTTTTGAGTTGGTAATCATAGTAATCCCAAGTCGGAAACCAAGTGGGAAATTTTGGTGTACATTTTTCATTTCTTTACTGTTACCAATGGACTTTTGTTGATGTTGAACTCTGCTGTGAGTTTCATCGGTAACTCTTCGCACTGAATATATATATTTCTATATGAAACTGCCTCTGCATGTTTTAGCTTCCCAAAAAGTCACACAGAAAACAGTGATTACGATGTACGTGACTAACAGATCTCGTATGTTGATATTGTAACCCTGGTAAAATGCTAACTGCAATATACCACTCGGCTAGAGAGGACTTGGTTGAGCGTCATGAAAATAGATAATGACCTCTGTTACATTGACGGCCAGGGGTACTTAGCCATGCCCCACCAGCATCCTCGGGATAAAATACTAACCACAATATACCACACGGATAGAGAGAACTTTTCATTCCTAGTGGAGGCATTAAAATAGATAATGACCTCTGTTACATTGACGGCCATGTAGGGATAATTCACATCACAATATCTGGGTGTGTTATCATGGTATAAATGCACACATGTGTTATATACACCTCTGTTTATACACAGAATTAAACATACACAGAAATAGTTAATTTCCCCAAATATGACGACTCGACCAAGGTCAGTAGTACTAAGATGCACGTATTTCCTTATTCTAAAATATATTTGATGCATGTCACTGGTTATTATTATCCGGTATCTGTGCTCAGTGACCAAAGGTATATCAGTTGATCCGTTAGATAACAGCAGATAAAAGCAGTACAGGTAAGTCGCAGAGATTGAGATCGATAATATGCCAGATCAGAACACCGAATATCTTTTTCAACAAATGAAATAATAGTTCATTGATAATGATTATGATTTGATAAATTGTCTTGTGTTCGAACATACCAAATTGTATCCAGTATATTTTATATATAACTGTCGTTTTGCTATGTTCACGTTATTTGTATGTTCCATTGTGGTTTGTCATCCGTTTCATCTTTGTCTATGTCATATTTTTTGTATCAAAGGTCATTTTATTTCGACGTTAACCTGTGTTCCGGTCATTGTTCCAACTGGCCATGAAACCACGAACACGTTTTTACCTAGAGAAGCAATGCATTCTGCACGTGTCATAACTTAGCATTGAGAAACAAGATTGAACTTGAACTTATTGTATGTTAATTAAAAGATATGCCACCAGGATTAAGTTCGTCTATTGTAACTAATATATACATACATACACGTATACATGTTAATGAATATGACGTCACATAATTTAAAATATTACTATTCTGTCATCTATTGGAAAAACAAACATATATTTTGGTTCACATGATATTAGAACATCGTACCCATTCATCACATTTCCTACTATCGTTTTACACCCGGTAGTTGTAACTTTACAGATAACCAACATCATCTCTATTTAGATAAAATAGTATCACGTTAACGTGTAAGTCTGTAATTGATATCATATGATTGTTATATCACGACTCTATATACAGATACTGTAAAATTATCAATGGAGTACTTACGTAGTAATATATCTATTGTATTGTTCTCTTACTTGCAACTTTGAGGATGAAATCAGCACTATCCAGTGACGGGTTAGGTAGGTTGGTGTTAGCACGTCCACAGAACCACACAGATCCATGGTCTTCAGTCTGTGGCTGTATGATCAATCGGAACACTGTACCGAGGCCTCCAGACGTTACACAAGAACAGACATCCGGGGTACAGGGGACAGGCGGGAATGCATTCATGTTTAAACATTGATAAGCATCTACTTGAACATATCCTTCTCGAAATGTCTCTTCAGAACGGCGGAAAAACCAAACCCTCTTGGCCTCATCTGGTACATCACACGTCAATGTAAACCCAGACCCTGGTACAGCGTACACAGACGACCCCGTCAGTGTGACAGCATCTGGTATAAATAACATCAGTTATGAGTATTGATATAATACAATATTATATGAATAATTTATAATAGTCACGAACTACGACATAACACTATTCATTTGATTGATACCCTTGCTCTTACGAACAGGTTTATCTAGGTAAATTTATCGTCATTAGAATAATGAATTGAGATCTTAATTAAAAAATAGTGGAGACATTTTTATATTAGAAAAGGGGTTGAATATTTACAGAAATTGTACTCGGATATGTACCGAAAATGAATAGGCATCATCATCATCATCATCATCATCATCATCATCATCATCATCATTATCATCATCATCACTAGGTTTCAATTGATGAGGAACAGATACTTCCTGTATAAACTTATTGGCAGACACTCAACAATTACGCGATATGATCACCAATCACAATATTTGCACGCTTCTATAAAAATAAACAATAAGATTCCCTTACTCACAAAACAATTATTTCGCTTCCGATTATCAAACCCGTCTGTTTTAGTAAAGTACGTAAAAAATCACAGTATGATACTGAGGGATCGTTTATCTTCCAGTTATGGTGGCTTATACCTGACATTTCGCCTTTTTATTGAACGTAACTGGAGTTTGAATCAAAGTTCCGTATACGACCTATGAAAAAACTATGATATTCTTAATTTCTATCTGACATCGTGACAGACACTCTCAACATCAGTGACACTTCATAGTATTTTTTTATATCAACATGTGGCATCGTGACAGACACTGAATATCAAAGACACCCCACGGTATATTTTACATTAGGAGGTGGCACCGTGACAGACAATCAACATCAGGGATACATCACACTATATTTAAAATAACGATTTGAAAGAAGAAGAAAAGACGAGAAAACGAAATAAATGATGGGACGAAAAAATCCAAATGACTGAAAAACGAATTGTCGGAAAGACTAAACAATGAAAACAAAATGACGAAAACCAAAGCCAAAAAAGACGACCAAAAAACTAAAACCCGCCACAGTGAAACATCTTATGCAAAAAGTTTGTTAACTTACTCGATACAATTAAATTATTTTGTATACTTTACTGTTCTTTGTGATGCCTTATACTAGTTTTCGCAAGAAAACGGGTCATTTCAGGAGATTATATTCTGAACAAAGAGTTCCAATTAGCACCTCTTCAGTTTCTATATTAATTTCGATCTTTTATTTTTGATTATGAGTAATACACTAGCACATACATATACTCTTAATGTTTGTAGACAACATGAAAGATGGCCACGGAAATGAGATGTACATCGCTATATATATACCACATTGATTGATGAATTGATTGACGGATTGATATAGCCATTATTAAAAAAAAAGTTTGACCCCGATTTTGTCCGAGACTTCAATGATCTGCAATTATTTCAATATATAAATATAGTCACTATCAATTTTAAGTTCTATTGGACACGTATAGTAACATGTACATATTCCGCCCACTATTTACGGAAGGAGGACCGGCTTAAATTTCAAATGTCTTCCATTCAGCAGGCTGATACTGTTATGTATAAATGTTGTGTATTAATCTAAATTGAGATGTGCTGTGTTTACATGTATTGTATAATATAGATTGTTTACATAAAAAGCATGTTTATAATTATTTCGCACAATATGTGTAGAAAGTGCTAGATAGATTTTTCTAGAACGCTCGGTTACTAGAATGACCTGGGTGTTTCCGGAAGTTTCTAGAGACACATGTAAATAAGCTAAGTACCTGCTTGTCTAGAATTATCTAGAAAATAACTTTCTAGAAACCTTTAGTGTATATAAACATGATGGAACTGAGTCTGTGGGGCCTTTTTTGAAGTATTGACGCCTTGAGTGAGCTTATTTTGAGACTTCAGTCTGTGAAGTGTGGACTTTTAAAGTGATTTAGTGATAGTGCCTTGTGGACTTGCACTTATATATACCTAGCGAGGAAACCATTATTGGATTATTCATCGGTTATCCTGTTTTCGGGACAATATATTGTGAATTCTTCTGAATTTGGAGGACTTCCACGGAAAGATAATTTCTGACTTTTGATTAATTAGTAGCTAGCTCTGTACACCATCACAATATTTGTAATTTCACTGCATATCATTTATTTTAAGTTATTAAATTGTTGAATTCTAACCTAGCTGTTGGGTTTTATTTGCTGTACGTAACGTAACAATACTACAAAGGTCCCTTCCTCCAACGGCCCGATAATGTATAAACTATAGTATTATGATTTATGAATTATTATAATAATTATTTGTTTTATGTACACTTGATCGTTTACATACGTAATTAGACATGTTTAGCAGAATTAGATTTTATATGTGTGTTGTGTGGCGTGTGGTGATGTGTGGTGATGTGTGGGTGTGTAAGTGGTGTCTGTCTGCCTCTCTCTCTCTCTCTCTCTCTCTCTCTCTCTCTCTCTCTCTCTCATGCGTCCTATTTATTTCCACTATATTTGGTAGCTGAATGTATGCAAAATACTAAAAATACTTCGAACATTATGTGAGTAATATAAAGTGGACACATGCTTAAATATACGTCCTGAGTATTCGTATTTAATGTACATTTGATCGTTTACATACGCAATTAGACATGTGTAGAAGTTCGAATGTATATGAGTGTTATATAAGTGTCGAGGCTAAGTTTAGAATTAAAACAGGATGCCTTTTTCCAAATCAGAGTTCGCTGATATAGCTCTGTTTGAATGACATTATGACAAATTCATTCAAATTATGACCCTTATTTCCTGCTGTATCATAAAAAATCTCTATCAGGCTATATGTTTGTATCATTTGTCGATATCTATTCAAATTGTGCAACTTAAACAGATTCATTGCTACATATGGTATTTTCGAACACAAAGGGAATGTAAATCAGTCTGGCGTCTTTTCATTTTATCGATTTGACGGGTTTTTGTCTTTTCGCGTTTATTCGTGGGCAACAAAACGAAAAGACGAAATGTCAGGTATAAGTCACCATATTCAATAATTGTTAGTCTCCTGTTTACATCCCCGGGAACAGCCACGGCAATTTTGAGACGGATCACCTTGTAGCAGCAGGTGGTTGTCTCATTGAATAACACACGACAGGTCCGTCATATGTCATCCATACCAGTTAGGATGAAGTGTCTCATCTTGGGTACAAGCACATCAGCATAGTGGCTAAACCTTCACAGTTGGACTGATTACATATATATGGTAGCATCAATAAAAGAAAAGAACCATATATATTCACTTATGTGGGTATATGTAAGCCATTTTAGTCAAATATGATCATTATTTATTTCAATTTTCCTGACTAGCACAGCTACAGGTAATACAATCTTGCCCTGGCTAAGGATATCGCAAGGGTGTGAAGTCTTCACAACTGTATGTATGTTATTGAAGGCTACATAACAAATCTATATCCACGTATGGTAACCTTATGATCTCCCGGAGTGTTTTGCGCTACCCCATTAACACCTCTGTAAACGTATATTTAAAGATTCTTGAATAACGGATTTTTGTTGAATAAGACAATATTTCATTTTTCTTTTCTTTTTGTTTTTATCGGGGAATTTTTTGAAAACAAACTTATGTTGACCTGGAAAATGATAACATGAATTAAAATTGGCTTTAAACTTCGTGATCCTCCCTTAAGCGAGAAGGTCATCGTTAACGCTGATCGATGGCATACAAAACAGTCTACAAGCTTTTCTTTCGTTGGCAATGTCGCCATATTTCCCCGACGTCAAACTTTGACCCTGATCGCAAAGTCAACTATTGGTATTGAAAACACAGACTTACCTGTTGACGTAAAAGTTATCCATAGTAAGGTGAATATACATAGACTGGCTCGTTTTTGAAACATTAGAAGTATTTCTTTTTTCATATGAAGGCAGAACACATACATGTTTGTGCTCACTGATATTAACCAGCGAACTTCCTGGTCGATGTAGCCTTGTATTTATCTACAAACGGTCAGTTTGATGTTGGCCCAATGTATCAGAACAAAAATAGATTAGTTTTGTTTAATACACAGTGCTTGTAACAGGTTTTTATTTCCTCTGAAGTATTACATCGGTGATATTGTAATGTTGTAACATTATACCTTATAATATAGCAAGCCTATGATTTTAACTATAAGCATGACTATATACATGTTTCTGTAGTAGACAGATCACGCCATACTTTATATATATCATGGATCGCCATATCTGGACGTAAACAACCACGTAGCAAACTTATATCCGTAATGCATTTTTACAACCAAACAGATTGCATTAATGAACTTTAGGTATTTAATGCGCAACATTATAGCACATATCTAATTTCAAATCAACTGAACAAATGTCCCGGTCGTGAATAGGTATCAAAAATGGTGATTAAATTTTCAATTAAATTAATCTATTTATTTTTCATCGTCTCGTAAATTATTGTTAAAAGTGTTTGGTGTACAGGCTGCGGCACTTCGAAAGACATCTACTCCTACAATTTGAGCGTGTGGATGACCGGAGCATGTACCTCAGCGACTGCTAATAGACGATAGTGATCTCGATCTATCAAAGGAATTCAAAGTTCAATATCTTACATAGTTTTAGTCGCGCTTGATATGTTACACTTCAACTGAAGTACACTGTAAACGAAATAACTGGAATGTTACCATCAAAATATTGATAACGTACTTGTATATGTGTATAACGATGTTCACACATATATAAGAAAGTGATACCGAGATCAGGAAACATATGCTAAATTACCTCCTTTCGTTTTGAAATCAACAACTTCAAAAATTACTAACATACTGATGCATTAGTGGAAATAAATATCATTTTATATGTTCTAAATCTCAAGTCTTCTACTACATTAGGCAGGTATGTCAATCATAACAGGCGAAACATGGGTTATGATTCATTAGAACTTTATGCATGAATGTATGTTACACTTAATACTTTTCGCATGTAGCTTCAAGTTTGGAACTGTTCCGAATTTAATCATGTTTATAAACACTATCAAGGTGAGAACTTTTATAATGGTGGTACATTCACAGCCTTGTTTTCATCTTCATGTTATATTTCTCAAGTAAAACAAAAGTAGTATAGTTGTTGTCCTAATGTAGGAGATCCGATAGCCTGAGACTGTCCCGACTGAGTGTTTTTATATTTGGAGTCAGTCCGAATTCCAGTATGGATGCCATTTTGAATAGCCGTGACATCTTAAACTTCTTAAGTTGTTCTTAATCTAGATAGCAAAAAATTGGTGGGGATGAGTTGTTGTTTTTACGACGCTATAGTTTAGCCTGTAATAGTGCTTTCCTTATATATTGATATTAGAAGCATCAAAGAGAAATGATGGACGGCAGGGAAGAGAATAATGATGAAGGTAGGTGTTTGGCTGCCTAGGATGTCCACCAATTATATTAAAATTTATAATGCTTTTATAAAAGAAAACACGATCAGTTTACTATCTATCTGGAAAGGAAGGCCAGGACCTACTACATGGCTAGTGAGTGTGTATTGGTAAGGTTCACCAATACAGTTAAAAACAAAATATACGAAAAAACTATCTTAACATTTCATCATTCTTTAT